GTGAGAAGTTGTTGGAGCAGAGAAGGGCTGTTCCTCGTGTGAGGGATGTTGACGCAGAGAAAGACTGTTCCTCGTGTGAGGGATGTGGACGCAGAGAAAGACTGTTGGTCGGAGGAGAGTTGTCGGAGCAGAGACGGGCTGTTTCTCAGGTGAGAGATGTGGTGGAGCAGAGTCAGGCGTGTGATTGTTGAGGTTTGTCAAGGCAGAAAGACCAAATGGAGATGGCGGCTCGTCATGACAAGTCAGACCAGACGATGCATGCACATGTGAACAAGGTGAGTCAAGGGTCCCAAGTACCGCTACCTCGCCGGCACTTAGCTCGAGGCCCGCCGAGGGATTCCGGGGTCGGGGCGCCTCGTTCGGGGCTGCTCGAACCAGTTTAGACGTGGCGTCCTGGCCAATGACACCGCGCCTGGCGACGGGTTCGAGGCAGCGCCGCGGGGTCGACAGAACCGCGGCCGCGTCGTTTGCGCGGCGAGTTCGTGGGCGTGGCAGAGGTACGGGGCACCTCACCCAAGTTTGGTCAGAGAGCAAGTCCCACCCCATCCGATGGCAGCCGCGCCTGTCCCCGTCCGAGACCGGCCCAGGCTCTGACGACCCCGCCACTACCCCTCCATCGAGGTACCGGTACCTCGACCTCGCAGCGCGTCAGACTGTTACGCCTCTAGTGCCACGCCCTTGTCCTGCGCCCTCCGCCTTGCGCCTTCCGTCTCCGAACTGGCGGCGAAAAAAGGCGAGAAAAAAAAAGTTTCGTGCCGCCGCTGTGCTGTGCCTGCCAACAACCAGATCCCGGCGTGTCTCTGCCTCGCTTCTTTCCGTATTCTTCTGTGACCTTCTGGCGCGATATAAACGTGCTGCCTCGCCCCGCCCCTTCCACCCCCCTTTCAGTGCCCCTCCCTGTTCGCTGCTTCCCTAGCTGCTCTCTTCCTTCTGGCCCTGGACATCACGACCGACCCCGCATCGTCCCGATTCTCACCTGCCCCTGCCCGCCTCGTGAATCATCAGTCCCTAGTCGTGCTTCGGTTCCTACCGAGACATCTCGCCCCTCCCCTTCTGATCTACTTTTGACGCACCTCCCTTCTTCTTCACCTCCTCTCATCGCCGTCACCTCCTTTCACGTCGTCTCGAAACCTCAATTGACTTCTCGTCCTTGTTCTGTCTTGCTTTGCTATACCCTCGTCCACCCCTCCCCAAGACAATATTCACACCTCCCCATCATGTCCTACACCACCCAGAACGGCGCTGCCAACGAACCTCGGCCACACCGCCAACGCGCCACGCCCATCCCGAACATGCCTCAGCCTCCTTCGCCGTCAAGGCTGGCCTCGCCCAGATGCTCAAGGGCGGCGTCATCATGGACGTGACCGACGCCGCCCAGGCGCCGCATCGCGGAGGAGGCGGGTGCCTGCGCCGTCATGGCCCTCGAGCGCGTCCCCGCCGACATTCGCAAGGACGGTGGTGTCGCCCGCATGTCCGACCCCGCCGTCATCCGCGAGATCCAGGCCGGCCGTCACCATCCCCGTCATGGCCAAGGCCCGCATCGGCCACTTTGTCGAGTGCCAGATCCTCGAGGCCCTCGGCGTCGACTACATTGACGAGTCCGAGGTCCTGACCCCCGCCGACAAGGACGCCCACGTCGACAAGTCCCCCTACAAGGCCCCCTTTGTCTGCGGCTGCCGCAACCTCGGCGAGGCCCTGCGCCGCATCGCCGAGGGCGCCGCCATGATCCGCACCAAGGGCGAGGCCGGCACCGGCGACGTCGTCGAGGCCGTCACCCACGTCAAGACGGTCAAGCGCGACATTGCCCGCGCCCAGGCCCTGCTCGCCACCGAGGGCGAGACGGGCATCCGTGCCATGGCCCGCGAGATTGGCGCCGACCCCGTCCTGCTGCGCCAGGTCGCCGAGCTCGGCCGCCTGCCCGTCGTCAACTTTGCCGCCGGCGGCGTCGCCACTCCCGCTGACGCCGCCCTCATGATGCAGCTCGGCTGCGACGGCGTCTTTGTCGGCAGCGGCATCTTCAAGTCTGGCGACCCCGCCAAGCGCGCCCGCGCCATCGTCCGCGCCACCACCCACTACCAGGATGCTGCCGTGCTCGCCGAGTGCTCGACCGGCCTCGGTGAGGCCATGGTCGGCATCAACTGCGACACCATGAAGGACAGCGAGAGGCTCGCCACCCGCGGCTGGTAGCCGGCTCGTGTCTGGTGCTCGAGGAGGATATGGGTAATACCATGAACATGTGCAACACCACAAACACGAAAGACACAAAAGTATTCACACAAAGCATGCGTTTGGCGTACGGATGGGAACGGTCATAGGTATTCAACAGATACGCGGCCTCGAAAATTGATTATTGATTCACCATCACTGCCTGCCTGATGTGATGCTCTACGCGGTGGCGGCTGTCGTTCGTTGCATCGTACACGAGGACGACGCCGTGTTGACACATGGTAGACGGCGTCGGGGTGATTTTTTCACAACGAGCTGACAACATGCATGGGTTTCAACATGAAGAAAACACGTTTTGCCGCAATAGTCCATCGAATCCCCACCTGCTAAGGCGGGCCACATGAGAAAACCTTTTCACTGTGACAACTCAATTTCAACCAAACCCTTCGCAACCCGTAGAGAAACCAGCTTACGAACAACTGTTGCGCATTGTGCCGCTGCCGCTCTTTCAAATGTCCGACGCCCAAACTATACTTGATGAAGCGGTACACATTCTCTCCGTCCCGCCGGTACCCAAGGGTTGAAAGTTACAAGTCTGGGCGAATCATTGACAGGGCCTCAGTTCTGACGGCCGTGACCAGTCGACAAACTCCGCTCGTCGCAACCAAAGTCCGCTGCTACCCTTCAACGTATCCATTGAGCCGGAGGAAAGACGACATCCTTGACATGGGGGTATCGCATGCTACCGAATCAGTCAGCGGGGAGCTCGGACGCGTTTGCGGCTTTCATCATGTTGCCGTTGTCCGCCATCGTCCTTGTCTATACGTACCGCCTCCCGACTGAAGGCTCGCATAATTGGTGCAAAGCCTATATATCGCAAAACCGAAACTCTAACGGGCTGGACGCGTAGTGCAATCTCCACTACTGACACTCAGTGTCCGAGAGTCTTCCCTGGTGTGCCGCTCACTAGGGCTCACATATATGGCTGCAGTAAGAACCCTCTCATATGCTTCCCATGAACCGTGTGCCGCGTGTACTACTAGACTGACAGCATGGTGAACTTCAACCCCGACCAAGACATTCCCGATCTCTCAGGCAAGGTTATTCTTGTCACTGGGGGCAACAATGGCCTCGGGAAGGAGACGGTGCTGCAACTCTGCAAGCATAATCCGGCCATGATCTTCCTGGCGGCCAGATCCGAGTCCAAAGCCCTCGACGCCATTGCGGACATTCGGAGGACCGTCGCCGACGCGGCACCCATCACTTACCTCCGTCTCGACCTGGCATCCTTCGATAGTATCAAGAAGGCAGTGGTCGACTTTCACGCCCAGGCGGACCGGCTCGATCTGCTTATCAACAACGCCGGCATCTGTGCCCAGCCGCCCGGCACAACCAAGGACGGCTACGAGATCCACTTCGGCACCAACCATCTCGGCCACGCTCTGCTCACCAAGCTCCTCTTGCCGACGCTCCTCAAGACGGCCGCCGCCCCGTCGCCGCCGCCGCACGACGTGCGTATCATCACCGTTGCCTCCTCAGCCGAGGCCTGGGCCCCCTTCCTCGACCCCGGCGCGTTCGACACGCTGAAGACGAACATGACCGGCCTCTCGGGCTTTGCCCGCTACAGCCTCTCCAAGGTGACCAACATTCTCACACGCCCACGCGCTGGCAGTTCGTCAACCGGCTCTCCGCTGCGTGGCGCAGCACCCGGGCGTCGTCAACACGAACATCGCCAACGGCGTCGCGGCCAGCTGGCCGATCCTCGCGCCGCTCGTGCGCTTCGTCCGCCTGGTCGGGGACGTCCTGCAGACGCCCGTCGCGACGGGCGTCAAGACGCAGCTGTGGGCTGCCGTCAGCCCCGAGGCGGAGTCGGGCGAGTTTTATTTTCCCGTCGGTGTCCCTGGCAAGGCGTCGAAGCATGCGCGCGATCGAGAGATGGAGGAGGCGCTGTGGGCGTGGACGGAGAGGGAGCTGGAGCGGCATATGGATACTGCCGCGGCGTAGGCGTTAGAGTGGGGAGGGGGGGTTGGCACCTCATGATAATGATGAGAGCAGTGTAGATGGTCTGTAGAGAACGAACGTGATCTATTCATATACTCATATGTTATGCGAACACCCCAACCGACCAGTTCATGAGCCGGTTGAGCGCCTGATTTCATGTCTTGCATTCTTCAAATGGCCTGTGGGCGTTGGCAGCGAATGACAGTCAAGCTGGTCAAGGCTACATGATGATATGTTCAACGCCACTATGAATTCTACGTAGGCAAAAAGACGCACGCGCCGCTGCATCGTCCTTTGACCGCCAAGTGAGCCATACTCTAGTTGTCCGCTGGTTCATGGGATTCTTTTCGAGTTATGGGCGAGGGGCTGGTTATTCTATTTGAAGTTTATTCAGTGATTCAGTTCCCGCTGCGTCAGCGCCTCTAGGTCTGGTGTGTTGGTTAGCATGTGTGTGTGTGTGTCTGTGTGTGTGTGTGTGCTGGAGGTCCCGTATCTTGCTGGATGGGTGAGTTTTCTGCTCTGGTCTTGGATCGTCACTTCAGCACTTCTTTGTACAGTGCTAAGAGCAACTTACCCTGACCATACGAGTGGCACTGTTCGTCCGGAGTTAGTACCCCTGTCTGTCCAGCACTGGTGCCAAAAAGGCAAGGCTCTCGGTCGTAGCTGTGAGCCCAGCGAAACCATGGCCCTCTCGCCCTTTTACCCCCTCCCTGATCAAGGGCAAAGCCAAGTCGACGAGAAAGTTGAATCAGAAGCAGTAGACCGCAGATGAATGACAACATTCATGCATCAACGTCGCATACGAAGTAATAGAGAACTTGTCAAAGTCCATGCTAGAATGTAGATGAAGGCAGAGTGGATTATCCTACATTAGCACGGCTAATGTATCATGAGATGCAGGATAGAAGAATGCCTGAAATACGGTGCTCCAAAGAGTATCTGCGGCCCTTTGATGTGCCTACACAGTCAGGCCCCTGTCGAGCTACACAACAAAGGGGGGGGAAGGGGGGGGTGGTTAGGGGCTAAAAACTACGAGAACGTGTATACAAGGGCTGAGGGCCAGACCGCAGATGCATTACAACCCCATACCTATTTCCTATTGCCTGCGGACCACGTGCGAAACCTCTTCACTCTGCCCAAACCACTCTCTATCAGTGCCCCTAGAATGGGCCCACTCTTGCCCCCTAGGCCTCCCGCTTACGGTCCTCTGAAAATGGCTCCCTTGCAGTCCACTTCCGAAGAGGGAGTTTTCGGAAAAACATGAATCAGCTTGTAGGGAAGACCAATCATCAAGATAACAGGCGACCGATACGGAAGCGCAACGGTGTCAACCCATTAAAGGCGTCGAATGGAAAGTACGATCTCGACGCCAGCGGAGCAGACTTTAATGATTTCAATAAAGATCTCATCGTGGCATCAGCAGAAGATTCCTTCACATGGGGGGCCACAGAGGCAGGCTTGTAGTCTTGTCGTCGATGAAATGACTGAGGAGGATCTGGGTAGTGATGCCCAAGATGTCATATCGTTGCCGTGGATAAATAAAACTTTAACATGATGATCGTGGTAATTGTGCCGACCTTCGAAAACTACAATAAAATGGAAGATTCGTTTTACGAAAGCGCCAGCTTATGATGGACGTTGAAAGAGAAGCAGGACTACTGCAAAGACGTCGAACTTGCGTATTGTGTTGGATCTTTTATGTAAAGCGAGCCACAGAGACCGAAAGCCTGTTTTGAAGACAGAGGCAACAAACAGCATCAAACTCAGACTGTATTGTACATGCGCAAGTCTCAAATCGCTTACACTTGTGAAATATTCCTGCTCAAAACCAGCCTCTTCGACCATCCGGCGTCAGCCCCACTTCGCTGTTCGTCGGACACCGCGGTGGAGCATCAGCTCCGGGATATGTCAGCAGTGTCAGCCGTAACCCGGCACGCGTTAGAGGCGCGGCATTCATCAACTCATCCTTGCATATGAGCAGTTTTCATACAAACACGCGCACTCCGACTCAGAGGCCGACGGCACTGCATCACTGAGCCCACAGCGCCACACGCATAGCCACCATTTCGGGCATGGCGACCCCAGGGTCATCCGATGGGCCGCCGCCGCGACCCAATGAACCCCCTCCTGTCATCCGGATCTCCTGCCGCAGGTGCAGGGGTCGGAAGCTGAAGTGCGACCGTGCCACGCCACGGTGCTCGCGCTGTGTCAAGGCAGATGAGGATTGTGAATACCCAGGCTCGAGGAAGACCAATGTTGGGAAGAGGACGCAGGTGCGCGAGTTGGAGGCCAAGCTGGGTAAGTTAGGACCGCTTGACTAGCAGGGACCTAGGACAAGCCACTTAACCGACATGCCCACAGGCCAGCTCGAGAACAAGATCAAGATCATCAGTGCGGCAAGTGAGCCTGAAAACAACGATTTTCCTGACTTTGCTACAACCAACCTTGACGCCATTCTACCGACTGGGACAGCTTTCGGCAGCCTGCCCATCCATACCAACCCTGCCGTGCAGCCCACGCCGCCATACGATGACCACCCGTCCCATACTGAAATCACAAGGCTCGGTCTATTTGAGCAGCTGCCTGCTATCGAACTGATAGAGGAACTGTGAGTTAGTGTGCATGAAAGGCGCACGACTGAGCTGACTTTTGCAGAACGGCCATCTTCTTTGATGAGCTCCACCATGCGGTCCCCATGCTTCATCAGGAGCGCTACATAGCGTCTCTCTACCTACCAGCCCATATGCGCCCTCCAATGTGTCTTCAGTACATTGTCATGGCCTCTGCTGCCACAGTCAACCGTGTACATCAGCAGCTGGCAATGCCTTTCTACCAGCGGGCACGCGCTTATGCCGAATCTGATGAGATGAAGGTGAGCAAACTCGCTACATGTCTGGCAATTCCTAACTCTTGTTGGCCAGGGAAAAGGCGAGTACTTTTTGACATTACATCATGCCCAATTTTGGATTCTGTGCTCGAATTTTGAGGCCCGACAGATGTGGTACTCGCGGGCATCAACGAGTCTTGGTCGTAGCGTTCGCATCGCTCAGATGCTCAACTTGCACCAGCTCGATCGAAAAGCTTCGCAAGCTCGATCCATGCTCGCCCCTGCGCGAGACTGGACCGAGACGGAAGAGCGGCGACGTACGTGGTGGGTTGTGTTCTGCATCGACAGATTTGTGTGCGGTGCCACGGGCTGGCCTGCCTTGGTAAATGACCGAGACGTGAGGATTTCCACCCCGACGATGGAGCAACGCTAACGAAAGTGCAGATTCACATTCTGCTTCCAGCTTCTGACGAGGCATTCAGGAGCGGAGTCGAGGAAAAGACCACCACCTTGAAGAGCGTCCTGCAAGACACAGGCGAGAGATATTCCTCCTTTGCCGGCCGGATCCTCGCCGCCCACCTCTTCCATAGAACGATGGAGCACACCGAGCAGCCAGCTGCAGAAGGCAACCCTGAAGACGTCAAAAACGGCCTGTACTGGAAACAGCACAGAGACATAGACAACAGCCTAGCCACACTGCTCATGGCGCTCCCCGAAACGCTACGCCTTCCTCGTAACATCCGCTCCCCCAACGCCGTCTTCGTCAACGTCATGACCCAAGCGGCCATCATCTCCCTCCACCGAGCGGCGCAGTGGACCATGCGGCCGCTGCAGGACGTTCTGCCAGAGCACACAGTCCGCCAGAGTCAGAACAGACTCCTCCCAGCAGCGGAGGAAATCTTGCACGTCTTCCGCATGGTTCCCGACATCGAAGCCACCATGCAAAACGCCATGTTGACCTTTGCGGCATACATGGCAGCTCTCGTCTTTCTCGAAGATTTTGCGGCGGGGCACAGCCAGCAGAGCGAGAGCAACATGGACTTTCTCGTGGGCATGCTCGTCACAGTGGGTCGGAGCAATGTCATGGTTGCTTCGTTGGCGAATCAACTGGCGATCGATATGCATCATCTGGGGATCAAATCTTCTGTTGCGACCAAGGTACGAATCAGCTCTCTTTTCTTTCATCAGCGGTCCTGCGTGTTTCATTTCCTAATTTTGACCGATCATCAGGCTTTCGAGTTTTTGGCCCCCAAGCTGGCTGAGAAGATGGCCGACTCCCCGGGAGTCAACTTTTGCTTGCTGCACGGCCCTCCTCGAGCTGATGATACTGCGCTCGCTGGTATCACGCCGCAATCGAGCACACCGCAGACAATTTCATCCGAGAAGTCTGGGCTGGGTGGCCTCGCGGGATCGAGTCAGTTTCACGATGCGGACGAGATGATGTGGGCGAACACTATAGCTGAATCGCCACCTGTGGGGTTAAGGTATCCGTACGAGGCTATGACTTGGTGAGAACAGGGAAGTTGAGGGGGGAAAGGAAACGGCAGCGCTCGCTAGATTTGGAGTTTCTTACTCCACAGCCATTACTCTTGTCAAGTCGCAATCCCAACATTGCGCAGGGCTCGTCATGTTGGAGGTGTAAGGCTGGGAAGGCCTGAGGGAGGCGGCACAGTCGTGCTATCACTTGGTGAGCTATAGCTGCAGTGAATAAACCTTTTATGTGCCAGTTGCGTACTGATCGCCGACCTGAAACATGGATAGGTCATCCATCGACTGCGTTGGTCGTACGCCTCCCTTCATACAATGTTCAAGTCTGTGAAAGCCAATTATCAGTTGTGTCATATGTAGTTTGATGCACTAGATTTTGAACAAAACTTTATCAATATAAATTCGCACGCTTAATACAAGCTTCCAGTGCCATATGAGCTGGGGTGTTGATAGCGATGCCTCAGTCCGAGACTGGCATGATCGAGGTGTTGGTCTCAATGCCTTGTTGGTTGGTAACATGCTGGCGGCCCCCCCTGTCTACGTGGGTCTGTCATATGAGCAAGTGCATGTTTTGGCGGTCGGTGAGAACCAGGATCAGATACGCCTTCTCAGACAAACAGAATTCGATAGGCCCAGGCGCTACAAAAACCCACTGTGCGAGTCCACGAGAGTTCACGGCTGTGGTGAGTGGGGCCCGTATCGAACATCCTCACAATGCCTACGGCATCGCCTGTTGGGCCACGAGGAGCATCTTCCCTGCCACTCGGCGCTTTCTGCAAGCATATATACCAGGTAGTCTCCCTCTTCACAGATACCACGTGAATTGATCATATCATCCGAGTGCTGCTGCGGTCGGGTATCTGTCCTCCCAATACATGGCAAAAGGGGATAGGCGAAGACGCTGGATGTGATAGATGACGCGACGGTAAGGACGAATCACAATACGGCATCACACTGTGCGCGCTCTTTTAGATTAGCTCTCTATTATTCCTCCGCTTTGCTTTGCACCTCGCCCCAATGGTCTTTCCGCTGAAACCGTAGCAGCGTTATGGTCATAAGATACTGTGCTATCGACTTTTCACATACTTGTTTCTACTCCCATCCGCATCTTCTTTTCCTTCACCCACTTTTCTACTTCAGGAGCCATCCCAACACGATTCATGGGATCGCCAAACCCATCTCTCTTCCACCTCTGTTTCTTTCCTTCCCAACCTGGGAGTGTGCATCTGCCTCTGCGCAGGCGACAGCTGATGAAGCATTCTTCTGCTTCCGTTCAGCACTGAGTCAACCCAATCTTGCATAACTACGACCACCACAACTCCATCCGTCCCATGCTTCTCCTGCAGCCCTTCGTTTATGCAACGCCTCCCCACTTTCGACTCTTCGACCTCTGCCGGCCCAGCATCGACCATTTCTCTTGATTCCGTTCGCTCAGTAAGTCCTTAGTCTCTCTTTCTATGTTCCCCATTTGCGAAACCTCTGTCCACACCAACTTCGATTCCGACAATTACCTTTTGCCATCAAGGCTAGATATCGCCTCACAGCGCCAGGTCTACAGTACCATATCCGAAGTCCTGTGTTGTACATTCCAGATTTTGTCCTCCTCCTGGCTGTGTTATGCCAAAAACACACCCACCAATGCACCCTCCCAGTTTTCGCGCGCCTTGCTTTTGTACCTTCCCTGACACCAACCCGCCACACGATCTCTGTCATGTTAGATCACCCTGCTCGCGGCCATCAACGCAGTCTTGTACTTCCGAGTATTTTCAGTCCCCGAGCCGAGAGCGGGATATGGTGATGGAGCCGTCATGATTGAATACGTGGCTCATCAGCATACTCACAATCAACGCAGCTTGACTCGCTTCATCCAGCGAACTCACTCCACGCTGTCATGGCAAATCCTCAGCGGCAGGCTTCAGCTGCCGCAAGCCGCTACTTCACTTCAAGCACAATGAGTGATTTGCAGCGGATTGAGGATCTCTACAACCGCCTCAGTGCGGTTGCGCAAGATGACTATGCCATCAAAGAACGCGAGATCAAGGCTGAGTGTGAAAACCAGCAATTGGCCTTTCTGTATCGCCAAGATGTGCCGCCAGATGTCAAGGGCATGCTGCGGTATCTTCTCCTGGAGAACCAAGATTTGCACCTTGATAAACTGCAGCTAGCATATGAGACTCGGAAAAAAGACATACTCGAAGGTAAGAGGAGAGAAGAGCGTGACTTGCTCACAAGAATGGGCACCATGTACAGCGAGTCAAAACCAGTCCCCGTTCGCACCCCCGTCGCAAGTCCTCGCATGTCGGAAGTGAGCCCCGTCGTCTCGCCATTAGCAAACAGCAAACCATCGCCAGTTCCAAGTTCGACGCCGTTGCCATCCAATCTCACGGAACAAGGCCCGCCAAGAAACGCATCGCAGCCCCCTGTCTCGTTCCGGCCGTCCCCCCTTAACCCTGCTGCGGGCAGCAGCACCTCTGTTGGCGGACCCCCCCACCCATCAGGCAACAACTCGCCTCTGCAGCAGCCCGATGCTAGTCGAGCTGGCACACCGAGAATCCTGTCTGCTAAGCCAACGCCGAGGGCCTCCCCTGTTCAGCATCAACTGCAACAGACTGCGAACGACTATCTGCAGGCACGCGCGGCGTCACCGCAGTCCGCTCCAACAGAGCCTCAGGGTAAAACCTCAGCGAAACCCCAGGATGAAACCCCAGCACAGGCACAGGGAGGAATACAGGCCGAGGCACAGGCAGCAATACAAGCACAGATGCAGGCTTTCATTCCAAACCAAAGAAGAATTCAGAAGACACAGTCATGGCCGAGGCCGGTGAACCCATCGCCAAACCCAAACTACGGACTAGACCCATCGTTGTTCCAGCAAAAGAAGCGAAAGTCTGAAGTTGCGGACACTGGAACAGTATCCGAAAGGGAACAAAGCGATGAGCGGATCAAGCGTCTTAGGAAAAGTGACGTGCCAAAGTGTATCCCGGATATCAACATTTCCGTGGAGAGAAGGATCTGTTTCGAGGATGTGCACCAGGGAGGCACGCCCAAGTACATGCATACCATCATAAAATGGGAAGACGGCAACTATTACATTCTCTACTGCGAAGAGCACGGCGTCCACTTTAGGCAGAGAGCTCTCACGGCAGCGGCAAAACACCTTGACTCCATTGCGCATGGTAAAATGAGTCGCCATCACTCCCAGGCCCTGGAGCAACTTGGCCGCCGCATCGTCGACTGCGATGACGAGAAGATGCGCAGGCACAACGCAGTCGTCGCCAAGGCGTTTGAGAACGGCTATTCCTTACCTTCAAACGAATCTCTTCTTCAGGAGAACCAAACAGCTTCGGTCACAGACTCGATCACCGCCGAAACAACAGTCGAAGTGGATTCACATCAAGCCCATACACCACAGCTGAGTCAACAAATACCGGTTGAGCCGGAAGCAAACGCGACACACAAAGTATCTCACTTCCACAAGGTTGACAAACGAAAATCCCCCAATCGAGAAATTATCGTTAATCCCGTGGCTGGAAAACTCTACTATGCAACCCCGAAGCGTCGGTTTCTTGACAGGGTGAAAAAGTACATTGTCATGATTCTGGCGTGGAAAGACCTCACGGTTTGCGGTCTCCCCGGTACCACGTTGAGTCAACTAGAACTTATTCAGCAGGCACAACGCAAAAATTGCTATGCCTACGATGCTCAGGGCATCGCCGGATGGATGCCCGACTTTGAGGACGGTGGCAAACACGTTAAGAAGCGCTGGTTCCCCGTCATTTGGTTTGAGGGCACCAGAACAGAGGACAACCGAGAAGGTTGGGTCCGCGCCGAGGAGCTCTCGAACTTTAATATCTTCCCCGTTCCTAAAAGAAATGCAAATCACCCACAGATTAGAGCACGCGAGTGGTACTTCCGATGCCATCCCGATGAAGCGCCTGACGGCCTGGGCCCATTCTCGAACGGGCGCTTGGGCGCGGAAATACTTGGCGCAACGCGAGCTTCTACTGTTGCCTCGGCCGTTGAACGCCCGAATAATGACCAAGGCATCGTTGAAATCGATGATACTGACTCTGATAGCGAGTCTGCTGTTGAGGAAGCGCCTGAGCGGCGCAGTCGTCCGCCCGTTGAGGACCATGCCAGCGATAGCGATTACCACGCCTCTGATGATCGAGACATGGCCGAATCGGTTGCCTCTTCGCAGTCCTCGCGGCACCCGAAACCGACGCCAAGGAGGAGTACTCAAGAGTTACGCTCCAAGGCCACAGAGTCGGAAGCGTTGCGTCCCGTAACCCCTGTTCGTGTTGGAGCAGCAGCCGGCACTCGCTCCTCGACGAAGAGGCAGTCTGTGGGACACGACATTGACATGAAAGATGCATCCCCGGTGCTCTCACCACTGAGCCGACGGGCTCGCAAAAGCACCCAAGAAGAAGAGTCAGATACACGAGCCGCGGCGGTCACGCCTCAGGCACCTCAGGACCAGCCTTCGATTCAATTGGGAACCCCTCTGGACAAGAAGGCGTCCCAAGTTACTGCAGCGATCGAAGATCAGGAGACTCGTCCGCTAGGTGCCCTCTGAGGAGATGCCCTGAGCTGCGGAGACGCGAGACTCCAGAGACAACCCGCCCACTTGTTCAAGTGGATCGGGAACCTTCACAGGAACCTCCCCAGGAGAGTATTCGGGAGGAGCCGACACCCGCGGACGGAGTCGTCGGGACGAATTTGCAGGACGTCGTGGATCAAGCTCGCCAACGGCTAGTTGATCAGGCGTGCTTCAGGGTTGCCACGGAGGCCATTCAAGAAGTGCTTGGTCAAAAGCCCGCAGTCTCTGCCGCCGCCATTGACGCATCTGACAAGAATGGGGCCAACACTGTTGGTAACGGCCCAGGCCAAGGGACGGCGCAGCAGCCTCCACAGGATGGGAATGAGGATCGGGTCTCGGTGGTCTCGGTAATAGGTGCCGAGGACAATGAACCGTCGGGTGCCAGGAGTATAACGCCTACGCCTCTTCCGCATCAAGCAGTCAGAAACTCTTCTGCGGTACCATTTGCTGAGCGGACTGTTTCGGACGAGGCCACGACATTGGCACAAGAATCACACGAGGAAAGGGCGCCAAGCGACGCAGAGAACGGAGACGGAGACGTCACGTCAACCCATGCAGCCAAGGCCAATAATACGCCTGCCAGTGTGAGCGGCGTGAACGTCAGGGCCAACAGCGTTTCGACGTGCAACAGCCCCGTTGAGGACAATGTCGCACCGACCTCTGCGAGTTCCCAGCCCATTGTTGTGAACATCGGTCCACGTGCCGTAGACCCAAGTGACCGCTGGCGAGCTGTTCGGGCAACTGATTCACCAACTGTCACACCTCCTCCACATACTGCTATACCCTCTCCAGTGCCCGCAACGCAAGTCGATGGAGGACAGAACCCGGCGACTAAGACCACACCAGTACCGGCGCCGGTGCCAGCAACATCTGCGGCAGCAACGTCTGTTTCAGAAGGACAGCCGAAGACAGCTTCGGCCGCTCAAGACGGCAGAACAGAACCGTCTCGAGCGCCAGCGCCTGGAGCCCCCAACAAACAAGACAGAATCGGCCAACCACCCCAGCTCGAAAGCAGGCACAGATTCTTTGGCGAGATTCCGCACGTCGGCGGCGGCGGCTCCGCCGCCTGTCCCCTGCTCACCAGCTGCCCGGGCCGAGCCTGGCGTGAGCGACACAGTATGGCATGTGTCGGCGTTTCAACAAGGAAACCGACGGTGGTCCCACCCATCGCTCTCTCTCAGCTTAGCTGTGGACGAGGCGGGCGTGGCGAGAACGAGCGACGCAGACGAAATGGACGTGGCCATTAATCCACGGGCTGTTCAGAGCATGCAGTACAGCCAGACGGCAGATAAATCTCGCGCCGAGGTCATCTTGAAACCGAAGGAAGGCATGTTGGAACAGAAGATGATATTCACAGTTGGCAGTGGTCGAAACAAGATGCAGAGCGTCAAGTTTGTGCGGTGGATGCTCAAGGTCAATCCAGCGATCACGATGCTGACTGGACTGACGCTGCCGCCCCCGTGAAGGGAGCCGGGTTCTTTTTCCTTCTTTTTCTTTCAGATGCTTTCCTATGAGTAAGGAGAATTCGCCACAATCGCGTTTGTGGTTCAGACGGCCGTCAGTGCTCGGATGGCGTAGCAGGGTGTTCAAGCATTGGAGTTTGGCAGTTCGTAGGACTTGGGCAGGACTTTTGCTAGAGAGATGTCCATGGTGATCGAGATCAACAGCTAGAAATCGCTCCTGGAGGAATCATCGTCAGCCAGTACCACATTGCCATTGGACTACGTGCAGCGCCTCATATGTTGGTCTCATGATGTCCGATCTTGGTGTTGACGTGACACGTGAGCATGAGAGACGATGATTTGCATGTGATCGCGACGTTGCCGACAGGATGGGGGCCGATCGCAGAAGGCGGGGGTGCTGTAGCAGGGGGAGCTCCAGTGGAGGGGTGCATATCAGTCAGCGCCTGGGCACGCTGGGATGTTCTCGAGGTGTGTAGAAGGAATGCGTGACGGAGATTGTTCCGTTTGCTCTGCGTTTCTTCCTCTGCCCACGACTCTCACCTCAATCGCCAAACATCTCATCTTGGAGTTGAGCGCTGATTCGGCTGACATTGAGCGACCTCCCTCACGCATCGCAACAACACGCTAAGAACCAGCAAGGCCTTGGCCGACCAAAGCCGAACATTCCGGGGGCTGCAGTCGTGAGGTTCGGTGGACCACCATCGATCGACTTGACCTCTTTTTCTTTACCTCTGGGGGAGCAGGGCGATGACGTTATGACCACATCGTTGCGCCTGCTTTCCACTGTTCGTTGTCGTGCCTGCGCTTGCACCTGCGCCTGCAACTTCAACTGCACCTGCACTTGACCTTGCCGTTGCGCTTGGAGGAGCGAAGGAAAGGGGCCTGCCAACCTGCCGCACGCACTTGCCAGACTGATCGATCTCGCCTACCGTCCGATCCAGTCGCAGTCGCGTCGTGGGTGCCGCTGCCACGGCTGCGCCAGTGCTGCTACCTGCCTTACTCACCTCCCTACAGCCACAGCGAAGGTACCGCTAGCTGGCACACCGACGTCAGCCTGATCGTCAGTCAGTCGAGGCCCGATCCTGGTCGTTCCTGCTGTCTTTCTGTCTTTCAGTCTTTCCTTCTGGAACCACGTCGCGAGATTTCATGGCTGCCTTTGTGAGTAAAAATTCCGTTCCCATCTCCGCCTCCATCCCCACGTCCGCCTCCCACCCAACCCTTCTCTCCCTTTCATTACCATTCAACCCATCACCGTGTCCACCCGCCCCAAGCACGGTTAACGCGCGACTCGCTGCCCTGACCAGCATCAGCGCGCCGCGCGTGGGGACCCTGCCTCGGTGTACCCCAACTCTACCCACCTGTCCCGTGCGATATCGTTTCCCACGTCATCGCACCAGGCGACCCAGCACGCCTCGTCGCTTTCTACTGCCACTTACCTTCGTCCACCTCCACCCCAACGCCATCAGATAACAGCAGGGTCGTTAACGTTGCTACTTGCTAGGACACGCCTTGGCTCTCCCACATGGCGACCCCAAAACCCGCCCGAGGCGGCGACGATGCCTCGTCCGTGGCCGACGACAATCTTCAAAACTCGGCGCCCTCCGGCGCCCCTCCGACCTTTGCCTCCTTCTCGCCCGTCACCCTGTCGGCATCCGTCCCCTCCCGCTCCTCTCGTCGATCCACCATTCTCGTACATCAGAAAAGCCCCCTGTTGCTGGCCACGCCGCCACAAATCACACGCGCCCTCGCTTACTCGCACTCTTTTCTCCTACCCATGAACAAGGCCGTCGGGCTGCTGAGCTGGACGACGGGTGACCCCTGGGAGAGCTTTCTCCTCGTCTGTGCCTGGTGGGCCATCGTTCTTTACGGCGATGTCGTCATCCGCAGTGCCGGCCCCTTGGTCCTCGTCATCGGCCTCATTTCTCGCCATGTACTCCCGCCGTTTACAGCCCTTTGAGCAGCAGCGGCTGGATGGATGACCGCGACCCCGAACCGACCAGAAACCAGAAGGGACATGCACGCTCAGGCTCCGAGATCACACACACCCGCCCACCAGAAGACGCTGGACGAGATTTGCGAGACGTTTGAAGGAGTTCACGGGACTGTGCAACGTGCTGTTGGGACCTGCCCTTCTAGTTGACTGATTTTCTGAGCACGCAGCGCCCACCTACGACGAGACCCGCACTGACGGCCCTGTTTGTGCGAAACCTGTTCTGCACGCCCTTCTGGTGGGCCCTGACTCTGCCGCCTTGGAGGATCATCACGACCAGAAGAGTTGTGTTGCTGCTCGGCACGCTCGTCTTGACATGGCACGCGCGCGTGGCCAAGGTGGCAAGAACCATTCTCTGGCGGAGCGCGACTGTGAGGAAGACTGTGGCTCTCGTCACCGGGCTGCGTTTCGAAAAGCCCGATCGCAAGCTAACGCCTCAGCCCGATTCTGATATTGTCACGGCATCGGCCGATGGGCCTGTGCCGAAGATTGATCGCCAGACCTCCGAGCTGACGAAAGCCCTTCGTCAGAGGAGCCACAAGCACGGGAACAACGCCACGGGACGAGATGCTGGTGTCAAATTCACGTTTATCCTGTACGAGAACCAGAGACGATGGGTCGGTTTGGGTTGGACACAGAGTTTGTTTGCATACGAGCGTGCGGCATGGACGGATGAGCATAACAATTCCGTCCCAGCAAAGGATGTCTTTGAGTTGCCTGACGTCGAGGATGGCAGCAAGATGAGGTGGCGATGGGTCGTGGGAAGCCGTTGGCGCGTCGATGGCGTGACTGATGATGCTGCTGAAGAGACGGATTTTGACGGAGAAGCCGGGAAGAATGGCTGGATTTACTATGATAACAAGGTACGTATTCGTGGCCGGCGGGTTGGAACGTGAAACTAACAAAGACCAGTGGCAAGCAGGCCGTCGCGGGGAAGATGGCTGGGGCAAGTGGACGCGCCGCCGAAAGTGGTACCGCGATGCCGAGCTCGTCGAGATCTCGGAGGAGGAGCTCGCAGCGGCGGCAGCGGCAGCGACAACAGCAGCATCTCAGCCAACAACACACGTCTATAGCACACTTTCCGAGAAGATGGTGTCACCAACGCAATCGACGCATAATCTGCCGCCATTCTCCGAAGACGGGGCAAGCGAACAGGCCCCGGCATCCCTATCGTCTTCCGGTGGGGGTCGATCATTCTTCCGCAAGCCATTGCGAAGGAGAGGAACGGGCCAGTCGTCCACTCGGTAGCGACGAGTACGACGGCCGTCGAAGGTGCTCCCGAGAGAAAGAAGGCAAGGCGAGAGAGCGAGGTCATGAGCGGTGATGAGGCAGGCGTGGATGACGTTGGCAGGCGGGTCAACTTGGCACTGCAGGGACAAAGCGGCCCTGGATGGGGAATAGGAGACGAGGCAAGGATGAGTCTCGAGTGATAGCCTGAATGAAGATGATGAAATGCCGTCAGGGCTGCGTTGCAGTGCGCGGTGCTTATGCTGATGTGGCCCTGAGGAACAAGAAGCCTCATCCGCCTGTCGTTCTGTACATCTACATGGGGACGCCTCTTCCACAGCAGACTTCACAGAACAACCAGGCCAAGCATATCCGCCAATCTGATCGTTTCAGGACGTATCATGGACATCACAAGTCAGATGAGCGGTGCAACACCACGAGAAATTGTACGAACCAGGCTCCGAGCCATTCTGTATTCATCCCTCTCGACTCTCGACATCCTATCAATCTATGGCTTCTTCTGCTGCTTCAATACATATTCAAAGGCCTCATCTAGGATAGCCAGGCCCTCGGCAATCTCGTCTTCCGTCACGGTCACGGGCGGTGCCAGGCGGAACACGCCACCCATCCCCGGCAGATTTACGACGTTGCACGACAACCCCCTGTCCATGGCCCGCTCCGACACGGCCTGGCCGAGTTCCGACCCCGGCGCCTTGGTCTCGGCATCCGAGATGATCTCAATGCCCTGCAACAAACCCTTGCCCCGCACGTCGCCGACGCACCAGTACTTGTCCTTGAGGCGCAGCAGGCCCTCGCGCAGCTGGCGGCCCCTCGCCTCGGCGGCGGCGCAGAGGCCGTCGCGGCGCACAATCTCGAGGACCTTGGCGCCGACGGCGGCGGGCAGCGGGTCGTTGAGATGGGGTCGTCAGCCACAGGAAGCCCTTGCGCGACACCCCCTTTCGATCTCCGCCGACGTCGTCACGGACGCCAAGGGCAGGGCCGGCGCCCAGCGTCTTGGACAGACACAGAATGTCGGGCGCGACGCGGTGTGCTCAAAGGCGAACATGCGGCCCGTGCG